CACACACACACACACACACACACACACACACACACACAGCTGGCCTAAAACAATTAAATTATAGGCTATCTTAGCATATGTCATCAAATAAAAATACAAAATTTGGCTAAATACTAGGCACAAAAACTAAAAATAAAGTCAACCATGATGAAGGAGAAATTGCATGGTTATTAATGTGCATAAAAAAAGAAATAACAATGAAAATAATACGATTTAAATACTGCCTTAAAAAAAACTTAAGTATGCACTTTAAATTTGGCTGAAACAATTTTGAAATACATGTAAAAAAAAAAAATCAAAAGGTACATGTACCAACCATATTGAGATACTTCCCAGCAAAAAAAGTGGTGTATTTCTGTTTTTTGAGATACGTGATAAAAGCTCTCGTTTCTGACTGATTCTGCCAGATGGGGCTACTGCAGTTCCCGTCCACGCTATTATTGACAGCACCATGGTTGTGGACATAGTTTCCAGTGAGAATACTGGATCGACTAGGGCAACACAATGGACTGGTGACAAACTGAATAATAAATCAAATGGACAAATTTTAAGATTTAAGATTTTAAACATGTTTTTTCTACATAAAATTACACTTGATCATTGCAGATAAGAACCACAAAATAATGTTAGCAAAAATATTAAAATTTATAAGTCCTGATAAACTTTGCCACAATCAATGTACTGAATGTCACTGTCTCCTATCAAAAAATATATATGCAGATGAACCTATTTTGGCAGAACACATTGAATCAGTACTACAAAATTGTCTCTTAATGAATTTTGTGAAAATATAGTTTCATTGGATCTCAAGTTTTAGTGTTAAAAGCTTTCTTTTACATTACTGAATTCTATTATAAAGTTTTTCCTCACAGGGAGAGGAAAGGCGCAACCCTACATCTGGGATCCAGTCTCCATCTAGTTCTAGACATCCTGGCTCCTCCATTGCAATAAGTATACATACCATGTTCCTGAAAATGATCCCTTCATCTCCAATTAACTTCTTGGTTTTTGTCATTGGTGTCTAAAAAAAAAAAAAATTGCAATATGAGTCAATGTGCAGTATTTGAAGGTTCTAGACCCTTTAACCTGTAGCACCATTTACAGTATCTGTATATCTACTGTATTTCTTGCGCTATTAGTTCTGACTCAAAAGATGAGTGTAACTGGAATATGTACAGTATACTAGGTAGTAACATGCCTGCATGCTCTTGTTTCCAGATAAATATGCATTAAAAAGACTGATTTCTTAGGATATCCCCTATTTCAAAAGGGAAAATATACTTTTTGGACATCATTTTATTATTTTCATGTTTCATCATTTGTCTATTAAAATACAAAAGTTTATATGATAAATGACAAGACACTGTAGATGCTTCAATTCAGAATAAATCATAGAATAATGTTAATCTCTCTCTGAAGCTTTGTGTGGAAATTATGGATAATTTTGCCTTTTACCAAGATTGATTGATATTATATTTTGTATATATAATTCAAAGCAATTTCAATAAGTTTTGTTTTTAACCCTCTCACCCAGACCCTCTTTAGAGGTCAGTCCCTTGAATGGAAAGAATAAACATCAAGAAAGTTGTTTTGTGCTGAGGATACTACTGGTAGTTTAATTAATTGTGAAGTATGAACACAAGTTCATTATATGTTGCAATAATCACAAAGCATGTACCAAATGTTTTGTACTGAACTGAAAAAATCAAATTGGTGGACAAAAAAAAAAAAATTGTATGATCTCAAAAAACACAAGTCTCATTGTGGCACTGGAATTAGATGGGAAAACATAACAATTACATCATTATCAGTTTTGTCTGTATCGAAATATCTCTAAATTTAAAATCTAGTCTTCATTCATCAAATATATTCCTGAAATTGTCATGGAAGTCGTCTGGGAGTTCCATTTGGATTTTTTAAAATACCAACAGTCAGTGAACTCAACCAGAAAACCGGGTATTTTCTATAATAAGTAAATCTTGTATTTATCTATGCAGGGGTGGATCCAGGATTATTTGAAGGAGTGATAGCGCGGATGTGAAGCCGACCCCCCCCCCCCAAAAAAAAAAAAAAAAAAAAAGGCATGAGATTTGGGCCCGCTGGGGGCCCCCGAAAACTTTTGGTATTTTTGAGGGTGAAAGGTGCCATTTGGTACGGTTTAGTATCGGTACTATAAGTCAGCTAGTCAAAATTCTAATTCCAAGAGGGGAATATTAGTGGGATTTCTTTTCAGAAGCCGAAGAGGGGGTTCAGGACCCCCGACCCCCCTCTATTATAAATCCGCCTCTGTCTGTGTAGTGATTGTTTTGGATCTGCTTTCTTACGTTTACCACAGTCAAACCCTTTGACAAAACAGACAAAATATTAGTTGTATATATTTAAAAAAAAGAAAACATGCATGAATAATGTATAGCTACATGTACTAGTACATGTATCAGGTGACTCTTCAAATCATGTGATGCTACCTACGGCACTAATAATGTACTTGCACTGAAAATAGTATGATCTTTTTTTAGTTCTACATCAAGCTATGTAGGTTACAATTTTCTTTTATGCAAAATCACTTTAATGTTGATTTATCTTACATAATTTACAATATCGCTTTGCCCTTTTTTTCTTTATCATACTGGTTCTTAAAAGATCTCGTGATAAAAAACAAAACAATGTTAGAAGTGCTATAAATAGTCCATTACCTCTCCTCCAATAACAGTGTCTTGATCATCTGTGAGTATGAACACGATATTTGGGGGACCCTTCTTGGATGCACATGTTTGCAGCACATTTAAAAGGATAAGCACCGACAGCATCGAAAAAATACCTCTCCCTCTACCTTCCATTCTACCTGTAGAAGTACCCGTGACGTGACAAGTGGGCGGAGCGTTGTTACGCACAATGCTTGGGGGACAAATGTGATGCGACTCCCGGTTTTCCTACCCTA